TGCAAGTTGTCTTGAGAAGTATCAGGTCTGGAATTGGACTATGTTGAGAGATGTATTGAAATTTGATTATGAATTGTTATTTGAAGTCATTTGTACGGGATCTCATTTTATTTTTCGATCAAAGAATCCCCAGTGGAAAGGATTCAGGTGTTCAGTTTTAACATTTAAAGTATACAGCAGCAGAGGAGAAAGTAGGAATAGCGGTGGAGGTAGGGATGAAGTTGAAGAGGAAATCATTCGCTATCACGCTGCAGCACTTCATCTCAACACAACTCCTTTAGTTGATTTGGACGAGGTTCTTTTTTCCATTCTCTTCTATTTTCTGACTCAATGGCACTAGTGATTGCTTATTCTTTGCATGTTGTGGCTCTGCAACACTTTTGCTATGGTGAGGCCAAATTGGTGTTTTGATAACCATCTTTTGTGTTTATTGTTAATTTGTCTCTTTAAAGACTTAGAAATAGGGGTACTTGCTAGTGGAGTGAATAGAAAATCTGATTGTTGGGGTTTTGGGACCATGGGATATGGAAGAATAGAATGTCTTTTTCACATGCACACCAAGTGTTCGATCAATTGCCTGAATGGATTTTCAGTTGTCTTCGTAATTGGAATAGAGTTATGCTACATTAATGTACAGGGGTTCCAATAAAAGTCCCTTTTTGCTGGTGAAAATATAATCGGCTGTTGGTTCAGAAATGGGTGTCTGTGCTCTATCATCCAGTTTCAACAAATTAAAGAATTTCCAATAATTGCTCAATTCAATTTGCCTTGTTTATAAACCCATTTTCCTGTATTGAAAGAGATCTTTTAATCTTATTTGTTTCTAAACCAGTCATTCAGTCTGCTACCCGTGATGCTATAGCTTTCCAACAATTTGAATATATATGCGTGTGCGTTCCTTGAGGGTTAGAACTTCTTTTCTTAGTGTGTGCATTGTGTTGAAAATAAACTTGAAAGCTGAGATAACTTACAATCTGTATGTATTTTGCTGCACAACTTTGCTTAATGTATGCTGTATTAAGCATTTTAGTTTAGCTATCTTGGCTGTCTATTTATCTTCTCAATTTTCATGAATTATCTGAGGAAGATGATTTAAGTAAGAAATCAGAGAATAGTCAAATCGACAAAAAGATTAATTATCTTCTATTTTAAACTTTAATTGTCTTTACAAAGCCGTTCTCACTTTTTAATTCTAATTCTTCCAAGTAAAGAAAGATTTGTATTTAAATTAAATAATTTTGTTGTCCCTCTAAGCTATTGAAGGTTGATGGCGTTTACTGGCATTGCTACTGTTGGTGAGAATCCAATGTTACCTTTGTAGAAGTATTAGGTATTGACACGTCGCAGGTTGCAACAGCATGAGCTTAAAGGATATTTCTGCTATTAAGGATGAGGGAATGTTTGATTAAATCCTGAAGGAGAAAGAGGAGAGAGTCAGCAAGGTCATTCCTCCAAAATTAAAACCTTTTGAAATTGGATGACTTTCCTGCACTAGTTAAAAGGCATTTGTGACGTGACGATGGTACCATTAGGCATGTAATTCCCTTGAAGGGACCAGGAATGTTGGTTGTGAGGGCCTAAGGAGGATCTCTTTATCTTCCCTTGCTTAATGTTGGCCAACCATTTACTCCTCCATTCAAGAGAGTTAATGGTATATACATCCAGAAGAATGGTTGGAAATTGTTAATTAGTAATGTCACACATAAATTTTGAATTATTATTCTAAGTCAATTTTTTTTTATAGAAATTAAATGTTTTTATTAATTAAAAGGTAAAAAGTAATTACTTCAAAATATTTAGAATTTTTATATATGATGATATTATCGTCTAGAACTAAAACATAACTTATTATACTAATTATAAATTTAAATTATACTCATCATAAATTTAAATCATTAAATATAAAAAGTTTATTCTAAGTCAATTAATTAGTGAGACAATTTATTTCTTTTTTGATTGAAATTACTATAATAACAATATCACTTAATATTTTTTATCGATATAATATCATATAATGTTGTAAATTAATAATATAATATATTATTATTTAATTAATATTTTAGACAATTTATTTCTTTTTTTATTGAAATTACAA